CTCAACAAAGCCCATTAACGATTGTTCCCTTCAGTAGAATTGTCCCAGTTTTCTTATCCTTCACAAAGAGAACTTGTAAATGAAGTTCAATGTAGGCATCATTATCAAAGGCAAGTTTAGAGGCACTAATAAGATTTTTCACAATGTCAGGACTATATAGCACATTTTTTAATTTCACATTTCTACCATTGTGTGTTTGTAAGGTCACATCACTACTATGCTCAATTAGAATCAAATCATTATTGCCAATGATTATATTTTTGTTACCTGGATATTGTGAGGGGTTACCAAGTTGAGTAGGATCATGGGTTATATGAGCAATGGCCCTACTATCAATATACCATTCCAGTTCATTTGACATATGGGGTGTCGCTGCCATGAAAGCAAAGTGATATGCATTTTGAGGCCATGTAATTTCATAGGGACCATGTAATTGTGATCAAACCTATAATAGCATATGACAATAGAGTGTCCATTACAACCACAGACTCGGCAGTTGATGTCACACCTTACTATTTTATCAACTTAGGTTCCATTTAAAACCATTTTAGACCACATTGGATGGTCTTGAGCTCACTTTTTATCTGAAAAATGCTAAATTTCAGATTTTTACTGTTTATCAAGTAAAAATCCAGTTTTTCTGGCCCAACTTCAAAAATCCATAACTTATTCCAAAAAAATCGAAATGATGTAGTTCAAAATTCTATTTAAAGATATTTAAGTTATATTTGAAGAAAAAATAATCTTGTGATCCAATTCCTTAGGAAAAAGCATTAGGCTTTTGTGAAAGGTAACACTATCCATTTGCCAAAAACCCTTCTTTCCAGATTCTGACCTTTAACTTTGAAAAATCATTAAAAATCGTATACTTGGTCATTTTTAATGTGTTAGCTATCTAATTGAAGCTGAAGAAATTATTTATAACCATGCCAAATTTCGTGACTAAAATCGTTTGAGAACTTAATCAAAAAGTCACATGAATAAGGCAGTGTCAGTGTGTTACAACACTATTAGTATAATATATACATAGCCAAAAAGATCCACGAAATTTTGTGGCAAGACACCACAAATTTAACCTTCAATTTGCAGCTTTCCCTTGGAGGATTCAGGCCCTAAAATGTTAGATTGCATTTGTGGAATGAGATTTCATTGAAATCCCAATAGCAAATTAACCAACTATATCACCAACAAGCATCATCAACATGCATAACTACATTAACTACTATTGGTGAACTAGCATGCTTATCATTTGGAAAACTCAATCATGTAAAGGCCAAAGCAAGAAAGTACAAAGAGCAGCCACCTTATAATCAAGAAAGTTCAACCACATAATAGCAATTAATCATGCAATAATCAATAATGCCAAATTAGTGTTAGTAGCTAGGTTTAACTTGCTACCTTGCTCCAAAAGCTTGAGCTTTCTTTCTTTCTCTTCTTTCCCCTCACAAATATCAAACCCTAGTAATGCAATCCATCAAAAGGGGCAGCAAAATCATTAACCAATCAAGAAAAAGCAAGAACACAATCAAAAATGACTCTTGCTCCTTAAAGCTTCCATCTTTGTTCACTATTTTTGAACTGTTTTCTTTTAACCCTAAAATTTGTTTCTTTACTTATTTCTACATGGTTTTTCACTAGGGGTACTAGAACCAAAAACTACAACTTTGTTTTAATGCTTCCAACACTTGTTCCTTTTAGTTTACATTACACCATTTCTCATTTTAAGCATCATGGAAGCCTTAAAACATTGAAAATCTCATCCTAGGGTTCAGTCATCATCTTGGCCGAAACGAACATTCAAAGAAACAACCAAGAAAAATGCTTCGAAACAACCAAGAAAAATGCTTCGAAACAACCTATACTCACTTGCAACCACTACGAGCTAACATGTTTTGATGTGTCTTAGCAAATGTGATCAACAAAACTCCATTCCCCTCAAACTAATTAGTTCGGTCAACACTCAAAGGAGAGGAAAAACAGATTTTTTTAACCATAGAAAGAAAGAAAACAAAGCAAGAACTTATCTAGAACCAAGAACTAACCTTAAATCCTTGGTTGTATGGTCAAAGCTGCAAGCTTTCTCTTGTTTCTTCCTCAAAAATCTCTCTTTTCTCTCCTTTCCTCCCTTGGACGAAACATGCATGTAAAAATGGGGGAAGATGAGCTTGTTTAATGGTCCAAAATATCTCAACTACTGTCATTAATGAGAGTCCAAGTGTCATTACCCTCTTTAATCTTGTTTTCTCTTTCTTAATTAACAAAATCTAAAAGAAATTAATTACCAAAGTCAAGATCCTCTCCACTTGAGGAGTGACACTTGGCAAATTCAAATCCTCTCCATCAAGAGCTTGACACATGGCTCAATGTGATCCATTTGATTTGCAAGACACTAGTCTTGCTTTATCAGTATACTTTGACTCTGAGTTTAACTTTCTTTTATAATTATAGTAGTTTGGCCTCTTTGCCTCAAAATTAATTTTGCTAATAATTAAATAAAAGGAAAAATTAATTTCCTCCTCTTTAGGGATTTTTCCACTTTTCACAAGTATTTAGAAAAATCTTGGATACTTGAGGGTCTTCATTTAATTCCATAATTTCTTATAATTCCTTGGGGTCTCATAGGAATTTTCTTGAAATTTTATTCTCCTTAAAAATATTTATTTAGAATTTTCCAAATAAAATCCCTTAATTAGCCTAAATCACCCTTAAATTCTCTTGTAATTTTTCTAAGGTAATTTGGTCATAAAACCAACTTTATAATTTCATATAACTCTCAAAAGATATTATCCTTATTTTTTCTTAATTTTTCAAGGCTTGGAAATACTTTTCCTTATTTACATTTGACTAATTTTTCCTTAATTAGTCAAATTCCTATTTTTGGCTTGGAAAATTATGGTAATTATTTTCTACTGAAATTCTTCTATTTCTTCTTATCATTTTTAATCCTCAATAATTTGAGAATATTTCTTATTTCTATTTACCATAATGTTGGATGTGACAGTTGATCCTTACATTAGTGTATTCACGTCCTCGTCCCCCACAATTGCCACAACCACGAGGTGGTCCTCGTCCTCGATTAGATCGGTGAGCTAAGCAAACCTGCATAACATGCGCAACTGGAGGGATAATGGTAAGAGTACTAAATCGATTAATTTGTTCCAACCTGCTTTCATAGGTGAGGAGGGTGATTTGAAAATCAACCCAACTAGTTGGTTCTTTGTCAAGTAGTTGACAGGCAATGGGATTGTACTCTCCATCAAGCCTGACAAGTACTTGTGTGATCAGATTAGTCAAAGAGATCGGGCTTCCAGCAAGGAGGAGTTGGTCAGATAGCGCTTTCATGCGAGGTAGGTAGTCTTCCATCTTCATAGACCCTTTATGGGTGTGCTGCAAATCATTTCTGAACATCACAATTCGTGAGTGAGTGCTTGCTCCAAAAAAGTCCTTAGCCATCTTCCATAGTTCATGAGCAGTGCTACAATTCAGCATGTTCATTGCCACTTCAGGATTGATGGTAGTGTATAACCATCCTAAGAGCAGTTGATCGGCGGCCAACCATTCATTTTATGCTGGGTTGGGAGTGACGTCATCATTGATGTTAATATACTCATCAAGGCAATGCATAGTGCCAAGAAAATGGCTGTCAAGCTTGTAGCCTCTTATGATGGGCAGCACGGTGGATTTCCAAAGTAGATAATTACCTCTGTCCAACTTGACAGAGTTAGGGGTAGTACTAGAACCAATAGTTAGTGGTTTGTTAGGGAATGAGAAAGGGACCGAAGAGGAGTTAGAGGTGCCATTGAAAGAGGTACTGGAAGAGGCCATGGGTGTGGGCTCTGATGTCAAAACAAAGTAATAGAGAGGAATAGGATCGAGAATGTTTTAGCAAAAGGTGGTGCATATTATTCACAGCTTGAGGTTTACATATACATGTACTAACGCAATCAGAGGACACATGTATCCCTTCAAATATGGGATATATTATAATGACTATAATAACACCAAATCATATCAGATATGAACAAGTTTGACTCTCTACAATAATAACCAAGTATCTCGGCTACCAAGGTAAAACACAATTATATCTTATGGATATTCCTAACAAAAGGTAAGTTATATTGTGATATTAAAGGGGTGTTTTGCAATTGCTCCAGAAGTGCTTCTGGGCCCCAAACCATGGTTTGCGAATAAGCATCATGGGGATCGCTTCTAAAGAGTGAAAAATAATCGTTGGAGTAATTATTACTCCTTTTAATAGCTCCCAATATTGAAAACGCATGAACCTCTTCTCCCATTCTACCCGGAACGAAAGCCTCTCCTCCCATTCCTCTTGTGCCGTCGCCCCTTCTGAAGATTTCTCTTCTCCCGTGTTATCGCATCTTCTTCCCATCGGTGAGATCATTCACTAGTTAGGAGTTTCAGCACCGGCAAGGTGTTTCTCAGCTTGCCAGAACAAGATCGTGCATTAGGTTGCCCGATCTAAGCCTTCTATTTCTGATATCTTTGCTGTTGACTTCGTCTTAGGTGGTGGTGTTCGATTCCATCACCTAGATCCAGAACTCAGGTAAGCTGTCTCCTCTCATTTGTGAACGTCTGGTTAATCAATTTCTTCACTGATGTAAACGTCCGAATCTGTTGTGTTTTCAAATTCCCTCCCAGCGTTGATTTTTTTTTAGACAGAGGTTGGTTTCACTAGTTGGTTATGATATATTCACTTCTATTGACTTTATTTTATTTTCCTCCTACCTTCATCTGTTCATTTTGTTCACTAGTTGCTTTTGTTTCATGGTAATCTGTTGAGCAAATGAGAATGAGAGACAGAGCAATCGTGTGTGTGTATACGACTATGGCAAAGATCAATGTTGTGGCTAATTGTGGTATATACCTGTGTTTCATTTTGAAATTCTAGTTATGGCTGGTTGTTGGTTGCTTTTGTTTTATGGTAGTCTGTTGATCAAATGAGAATGAGAGACAGAGCAATCGTGTGTGTGTATACGACTATGGCAAAGATCAATGTTGTGGCTAATTGTGGTATATACCTGTGTTTCATTTTGAAATTCTAGTTATGGCTGGTTGTTGGTTGCTTTTGTTTTATGGTAGTCTGTTGATCAAATGAGAATGAGAGACAAGCATTCTTGTGTTATAACTACTTAATTTCTTGATGCAATCATGCTTGTGTTATAACTAGCTAATACACGATTTTAGATGAGGGCAGAGCTAGAAATGTTGTTTATAGCAAACGAAATAAGGGAAAACAGGGGAATTTTGTTTACAATCTATGAAAAATGATTTTATTGTTTGACTATATTTAGCTAGAAATTTTGAAATGAATGAACCAGTTGGAATTGAACTTGCCATAGCAAAGTTGTTTTGAAGAAAACTTACTCCTGCTATCCCTCATGATCAACAGAGGCAGTGCTTTAGTCTAATTATATCTAATTTGTTATTACTTTTGAAGTAGGAAATGGTCAGTACATCTCCAGCATTAACATGAAGTCATTTATGATGATCAATACTCAACCTTGAAATTGTCTCTTTACCTTTTGTAATGATATTTTTGAAATGAGAACATGAGGATTATTTTTATGGTCAAAGATATTTTGTTTCTCCTCTCTATTTGAAAATAAGGTAGCTATATAAGAAATACTGTCTCTATTCTAAAAGTAATTAACACCACTCTTGAGATATTACATGTTTGCATGAAAGAAATTAGTATTGAGCAAGTAGAAGCAGCAATAAAAGTTGGAACAAGCAGTCAATTAGATTGATTTCTATCCTAAAATATTCTTATTGTGAATTTGTCTTTCCAGAACTTGTCTTGGTTGGTTGTTGGCCAGTTTATAAAGTGCTATTATGAACCTTGTAGAAAATGCAATTTATGGCGATGTATTTATCCGTCTAGCACATTTAATTACTAGGTTACTTTATTCTTTCTCTAATGTCTTGGAAATGGTTAAATATTATACCTATTATATCATATCTCCTGGACTGAATGGCATGCTTTTTGGGTTGAACTTGTGATGACTGAAGTGTTGTAATTGGTCTATAGCATAATAAGTAAACAAAATGGAAAAGCTTCATGGGATATAAGGACCACAAAGGTCTTTATTGTCTTGTGCATTGAAGAAGTTGAAAAAGGGGGAAGAAAAGGAACTAGCTTGACAAAGCCTGCTTGGGCAAGTCTTGGGGACAGCTTCACTACAAAGACTGGGAGAGTCTATACGAAAATTCAATTAAAAAACAAATTTGACTCTCTATGAAAGGAGTGGCAGTTATGGGATACGCTGCTCCGTGAGACAAGTTTGGGGTGGGATGCTTAAAGGAATACTGTTAGTGCCCCTGATGATTGGTTGGAGAAAAAATAGTGATAATCATTTAACATTACTTGAGCTTGCATTTTCTCCCATGTTAACATTTTTTGTATAATGTATAATATTTTTGGTGTTGAATGTGCAGAAGTTCCAGGCTACGAGAAATTTAGAGAAAGTAGGGTTCAACGTAGGGCTGAATTGACTCAACTCTTTGGGTCTGTAGCTGTAACTAGACCACAGTCATGGGCACCTTCTTCCATGACACTTCCAAGTGAAGGAGTTCCTGCAGATGATATGGAAGAAGGGTCTGGAGATAGTGAGGAAATTTTGGGGGCACCAACTGGCATAAGTGGGGAGTTTAATTCGGTCACATTCAATGATAATAGTGGAGAAAGTGGAGGCAATGCTAGGATGAGACAAGAAGCCATTAGTGGTGGTAGAAGCACAGGTGGCGGTTGACCTAATAGCTCATTAGGGGTTAGAAAAAAGGCTGAATCCATGAAGAAGAAACCCACTTCCACTAAGAAAATAACAGATGCACTAAGCAAGATAGCTCAAGGAAATGAAATTAATTCTCAACATGAACATAAAGAGATTTCAGAAGCACGTGCTAGGAAGTTAAAAGAAGAAGCACATGCTTATGAGACATCAATTGCGGGAGTCATGGAGCACCTTAATGAAGTTGATGAAGTTGTTGATGATCCTGATCTATTTGGCCGGTGCACAACACTCCTTATGGACAAGCCAGTTGCAAGGGAGATGTATATGGCTCTGAAGAATAAGAGGAAAAACTTCTGATCTTCTTGAAGCATGCAACTAAGGATTGAGACTTCGTTTGTGTTGCTTAGAAGATGACTGTGATAATTTGCATATACTTTTGAGAATGATGTAACCAACACTATTGTATTATGTGACTACTAAATTTCTGTAGGAATTAAACAACATATTTCCTTATTAAATGTTTGGTAATTTCATATTAGGGTTTCTGAATTTTATGTCTATGTACACAAGATAAGACAAAAAATGGCTGATGAAAAAATTGCCAAAGAGTATTGTAAACGACAAAACAAACAGGTTAATCAAGTTGCAGCAGTGATTGGTGGATACGCTTCTCTTCATTTGTGTAAAGGACCCCAACATACAAGTATTTATACAGGCGGGGCATTGGTAAGGGATGTTTTACAAGGCCATTCCACCTGTTGTTATAATATGTTTAGGATGGAAAGGGAAATGTTCTTCAGTCTTTGCACGGATTTGCAACAACATGGTCTAAGGGAAACTAGAAATATTGGGATACATGAAATGGTTGCAATATTTTTAAATACCGTTGGCCATGCACTTAATAGTAGGATGCAGCAAGAAAGATTTCAGCATTCAGGGGAGACAATTAGTAGACATTTCGATAGTGTCTTACTAGCATGCTGTAGACTTGCTATGTCCAATATCAAACCAAAAGATCTAACATTTCAGCATTTGCATACAAAAATCCGGCCCGGTGGTCGATACTAGCCCTTTTTCAAACATACTATTGGAGCAATTGATGGAACACACATTTCATGCATTGTTAATGCAACTAAGCAAACAAAATTTATTAACTGAAAAGGAAGAGTGAGGCAAAATGTAATGGCGGTTTGCGATTGGGACATGTGCTTCACTTTTGTATTGGCTAGATGGGAAGGTAGTGGGCATGATGCTCATATATTTGACTACGCCTTCAGAACTCCTTCCATGAACTTTCCCTATCCGCCTCAAGGTATATTTTAAATTGCTACAATTTATTTATGCTGAACTGTTAGAAAACAAAGTTTATTGACACCAATCATATATTTGATGTAGGCAAATATTATTTGGTGCATGCTGGCTATCCGACCCCATGGGATACCTTGTCTCTACAGACGCAAACACTACCATCTCCCTAATTTTTGAAGGTCATCTACACTTGAAAATGAGAATGAGGCGTTCAATTATTTGCACTCAAGTCTATAGAGCACTATTGAAAGAACTTTTGGAGTTTAGAAGAGTAAGTTGGCAATTTTAGGAAACATGCCGAGCTATGACTTTCCAACACAAGTTTAAATTGTTTGTCCAACAATGGCCATACATAACTTCATTAGATCAACATCCATTTCTGATCCTAGTTTGATTCAGTTTAAACAAGAAAGTTCTTATGCAGAAGAAAATAATGATGATGATGGAGTTGGATCTTCCCATATACCTTCATCAATAGAATCTTCATCTCACATGGCTCAGCTTCGTGACTCCATAAGAGATCAAATTGTTCACTATATACAAGAATAGTCATGTCCTTTTTGTTTCTTTTTTTCTTTTCAGATAATGTAATGTGTTGTTAAAAAAAACTACTTGGACAAATACATTTTGTTGCAACCTTTATTATTAAGACAATTAATATAGAATTTTTTTGTGTGGTTATTTAATTTTGTGAAAAAAAAATTATGGGATTTCATCTTTAAAATCTTTAAGAAATAATAATATTTTTTGTTGGCAAAATAAATCATTTCCCTAAAAACATATTTAATTATTTTATTAATATATATACACATTAATTATTTATTATTTATATTATTTATGTCTTATTTATTATGTTGCCAAAATATATATTATTAACAAATTTATTACTTCAAATAAACATATATTAAATATATCTTATATATAATTATCATTTAAACTTATGTCCTTTTTAGTAATTTCCACATATAAAAAAGTACTTCTAACAACAATTATCCAAACAATCTCATTTTTTCAGAAAATCTATTCTTTCAAAATCTATTCTCCAGAAGCTATTCTCTAAACTATGGTTTGGCTTCATCCAAACACCCCTAAATTGAACAAAGATTTTCGGTTTGTATTCTTAACATTCTGATGGTTATGGGCGGAGAAAGGAAACCAACTTTGAGACTAATGTGAAGTGTGTGGAGTCGGGAAAATATGAGACAGAAAAAAAAAAAAAAGGGGGGGGGGGGAGACGCTTGAGAGAGCAAGGGATACAGAATATGAAAAGTGGAGTGGTTGAGAAGCTATGCAAGGGGCTACAGTCTGTTTTAGAACAAGTGGATAATGTGAATTGCGGGAAGGTAAAAAATTTGTATGAGAAATTAATATAAATATTTTCTGCTTGTAAAATTTTCAGTTCTATCTTAAAAACTTGCAATGAAGATGTCACAATGTGTTAAAAATTATAGGACTGAATAATAGAAAAAGGATTGGATTGAAAAGTTGCGGATGAATATGGTTTTTTTCCTGGCCCAAGGAATAAAGTAGGTTGATGGCATCTATTTGTGCTTTAAATTTTTTTTTTTTTTTAATAAAAGACCAATGCAGTGGGGAGGTTGGGTGGGCGGGCGATGTACTTCGGGTCGCATGAGATGAATGAGCATAAAAATGAAAGAAAGAAAATGACAGAGTGATTGGGTATACAATTCTCTTTTGCTTCTTTGTTAATTTAAACTTCCGATTGGTGTTTTGGCACTGAACTAAATAGCTTTGTGTGGAAATTATAGGCTGGTTGCCGAGAAATTGATTGTGCTCATGTATATGGAAATGAAAAGGAGGTAATTAGAAAAATTGACTTAACGCCAAATTTTTGAAAATTTTAGCATCATGATTCAACTGCAAATGATTCGATCCTGCCACTGCAGATTGGTTCAGTACTTAAAAAGCTGTTTGAGGGGGGTGTGGTGAAGCGTGGGGATTTGTGGATTACCTCTAAACTTTGGTTTGTTTGGCTTTTGAAGTTTTGATTAAATTTCATTGATTTTCAGCTTTTAATTCTCTTGATGAACTTAAATTTTCTTATTGATAAACTTACAGATTTTTAATGATGAAAGCTCATATACTGATGAAGAGATTGATGGTATTGAGATCATTTGGCACAACAATTTCATCAACAGTATTATTCTCAATGATGCATGAGGTCCAAATGATTAAAATATCTATTTAAATAAGTTAGTATGTTAATGATTTTCTGATTTTAAACTTTCCTGTGTTAGGATATTTAATTAGGATGTTGTTGTAGGGTGTTACATAAATTAAACTTGTTGTCATTGTTTTCAACCCTTAAAATTGTGGATTATTTGTATGGAAAGTGATATGATGATTTGGTTCTATTGAATTGTTGTCACTGTTCCTGGATTGCTGTTTGTTTTGGGTCTATATGCACTTTCTATAATTGCAAGTTACAAAAAAAAAAACTGACAATACAAATACTTCACACTTCATTTAAAAAATAAATACTATTTTGGTCTGTTCTAGATAAAACAAACGAAAATAGGGCATTATTTTCTTCCTGTTCTAGTTGGAATATATGAAAATACTACACTATTTTTGTTTGCTTTAGCCTGAACAGATGAAAATAGTGCCTTATTTTTGTCCTTTCTGCTTGGAACAGAACAGACGAAAATAGGTGCCTCGTATTCGTTTGTTCCCGATGAACAGATGAAAATGGTGACTATTTTTTGTCTATTAAAAACAGACAAATAAATACATACTATCTACATCTCCTTTATCAATGTCTCCCTGTAAACAAACAAAAAAAGGCTTTTAGAACAGACAAAAATAAACTTTTTGTAGTAGTGATTTTTTTCCCCAGAAAATTGTCAATAACAAGAGAAAATAAGACCTGGGCCATGTACTCTTTCTTAAACATAATACACACCCACATGCCCTCTTTATGACTATTTTATAAGTGGAAATTTAATCACTCTATCCGGACATTCTAACTTTGGTTAAGAGAGAAGATGTGAGGTTATCACTCGCCCTATATATAAAGGATAAAAATGAAATGCAATTAGTTAAAATAAAGGATAAAATAAAATAAAAATAACTTCTTGAAATTAAAATTATAATATAAATAAAAAATCCCTTAATTTGTTTTTGTATTTTTTAGGTTTAATTTCTCAATAATTTGGAAAGCTATATGTATATTTTCTAAGTATAAAAATTAGGTAAGTTGCTTATACTTCTTCAGTCATAAATATAAGATATATTTTGTAATGTACATTAAGGATCGAAGGATTATCTATTAGATTATATTCAAGGTCAATCTACAAGTGCTCATATACATTTTAATGACTAATAATAATAAAATGACCAGTGTGATTAGAGAACTTTTCTTTTACCAAGTGATGTGATTAGAGAGAACTTGATTTCATGAATACAAGTAATTTGGTTTAAGTTTCATCCTTTTCCTAAACTTACAATACTCTTTTTGTTTCTAGCCGATCAAAGCATACAAATTATACTATCAGCAACCTTTTAATATCCCTCCTGAAACTTCTTCATAATATAATTAGAATAGAATGAAGAATCTGTTAACCTAAATCCACACGCGCCTGTGCATGCGCGCCTCTCTCTGTTTTCTATGCATATATAAAGACATAGACATAGACTAACATTTTGAAGATAAATTTCTAGTAATTTAAAATACAAGAGAGGTTCTGTAG